GATTTTATTCTTTCTCATACAAATATGCAATTCTATATGTACCCTTAGTTTAGATGAACAATATGCTACTCAACTTAAAGTGTTCTCCTGATAATGAGATGCAACTTAATCCTGCATCCCTTGCATCAGCCATCGAAAATCATGAAGTTAGTAATAAAAAATAAAGAAGGTGAATGATTTTCCCATTAACATTATGATTTTTAAACAATTACTATTAAACATGAATTTTATGGAATTAATTCTTGGTTGAGTCCAAAATAAAATAAATAATAATAACAAGTATGTAAAAGTTGATATTAATTAAATTTATAATTAACAATACTTTGTACAATTATTAAATAAAAAAGGAATATTATATTTGTAGCGTACATTCATATGAATGAATTAATTAATTATTAATCTAATACTATGTGGATTTCATTATTTATTAGGTATAAAATAATTCTTAATGAAGAATTTTGATTTTGTCCAGTGTGGGGATCGAACCTGCACCAAAAGTATCCTAAGAGAATTTTGTTTTATTTTATAACCGTCGCCTTGTGTGTAGGAACAGCCAACCCAATCTTTCGGGTTTACAACTACTAATGTTAAACTCCGTAATCTTGTAATTTTGAACCCAATCCATAAGGGAACTCCTGGATCAATTATTGGGCGAAATTTGCCTTCATGGAGGACTAATTGATGAAACTAATCCGCATTTGCGTTGCATGGAGAGGAAAACCACGAAAACCTCACACAGTTAGCCTGATGTCAAAGGGACTCTAACCGATGATCCGTCTACCACTGAGGATATTTCATGTCAGCACTGTGATTGTTGCAAGCCGGATACGGAATTCGTAACCACCAGTCATCGCTGGGATTCGAACCCGATTTACCTTATTGGCAAACGCTCTATCCCCAGAGCCATTACGGCTCCCCCTAGGAGCTTTTGTCATATAGTTATATTGCTGATGCTTGCAGGGAGAATTGAGTCCCACAACCTACTTATTAATCAGAGGTGAGTGTTCACCCCCCCCCCCCGCTTCGTATAAGCTCTAGCCCTACTTTATTTTTACTCCATCTCTTCTTCTTTGATTTATATTGGTACGATGGTTTTTGGTGCACATTTGGTGCACTATCTCTATAAACCAGTAGAAATATTTTTATTATTTTTCGGGGGAGGATTTATTTTTATATTTATTAATTTAATAGTGTAATGCTAGTGATTAAATGAATTAATATTAAAATTCGTTAATTGCATTTATTTAATTTCGGATTATATTTATTTTGAAGAATGGTGATCTTGATTTTAATCAGAGACTTTATTTTTATCAGTGGTCCAAAGTTTTAACACTCAAGATTAATAGAAAATAGTTATTTTTTTTTAAACTTAGAAAAATCGGTAATGTTTGACCAAGGTTCTAAAACTTTAGATCAATTAGAGTGT